TAAGGGCGCGCGGAAGCTGCGTGAACTTGAGATTACGATTCGGCACTGAAACGAAGTCGTTGGAGTTTACAAGATCAGGTGCCCAAGTTTCCCTTATCGCCTCTTATATTCCCTTTTGCACAGAGCAATGAAACAGCGAACAGTAACTTTACTTCAGACCTGTTTCGATTTATGTAACGCACACGAATTGACTAAAATATTTGGATCTTTATTTGGATCTTTATTGAATATTTAAGTAAGTTGTCTAATGTAAATTTAACGTATTGTGAGTATCATTTACTACTGTTTGATGTAATCTTTTATATCCTCCAATTGTAACTGCATATCTTGCCTCTATGTTTATAATGCATTAATATTTTATGATATGAGGATCACCGACGGCATTTTTCATGGCATGCATCTTCAGTTTCCATCCTTTACGTCTTTCCGGATTGTTTGTCGGAAACGTTTATCTCTCCCTTCAGACTATGTTTAATAAAGTCACGCGGCATACGTGCCACGGTTGAATGGGAAAACCGCGCGACGAGGCGTTATTCAATGTCTGCCTCTTTGGCTGCCAGCCCTTTGTGTACCCGACACGTTACGAGGGCTTAATTTTCGCGCGTGGTGCGCTTCGCCTATTGACCCAATAAAGCCGGACTTAAACTTTAACGGCTGCCATCGTAAACCGCGGTCGTTTCGATGTGCATAAATCTGCTGCATACCGGTCATGGTTTAGCACGGCGGCTGATACAGACGAAATGCAAGATCGACAGAAATCTGTCTGTCGTCCTCGTTTCGTCATCCGGATAATCGTGATAAATTATGACGAACTACATAGGACCACCATGAGAAACAATATCAGCTTTCGAGCTGTCAATCGAAGAATAAGAATTCAATTGTCATTATAGTACTCTCCTAATGATTAAATTATGGATTAAAAAATTGTAAGGAAAAAAGTATAAAATTGGATACATTAATGAGTCAGCATTAATAATTAAGCATTTTAAAAAATATGCAATTTATTAAACCCGTTATTTCGCTCAGAGGCAATTTATTTGAGGAGGCGGAGGAATGTCAAACGCGTCCCGTTTCCGGGTAGCGCTATACATAAAACCGACTGCAGAGAGCTGTTCGGCGCAGATGACACCATGATGCAACCGACGAATTTTTGTATGCTCTCGGTGCTATCCTGCGGCTTGTATTCGCACTACGCACGCATCCCCGCCATTTCGTCGTTTTGCAAATATATACAACGAACATTATCGCATTGCAACGAGAGCCATTCGGTGATTTGTCGTTTCAATAACGACGCAGTTATACCGATGATGGTTGTTTAATGATTTGCAATTGGCCGATCGCGAAATCGCTCTCTCATTTTTTTCTCTCGCTGTTATACATACCTCATATTCGAGTACCATCGTATTCCCGTTTTCGCGATCGACGCTTTTCGCGCTTCTTTGGATCGATGTCGGTTCCCTCTTGATTTAAAGCAAATTAACACTGCTGGCTGTGTCGTTTATTTTGATTCGCGTAAAAAAGCAATCTCGACAAACAGAAATGGCATGTCGAATACAACAATACAAATAACAATGCTGCGTTACGTTGAATTCGTAAAATTACTTTTACGAATGTGAAGTTATGTTTAAAGCCGTATTTGCCATAAAATTATACCTGATGCAGTCATTTCGAGTTTTATCCCTCCGAAGTTTATTCAACTTCCATACGTATAATTTCGAAGATTTACTGAAATTCGCCTCGTCGATCGTTATTAAATTTCGCATAAGAACAATATAGATTCTACGTACATAACAAATTTCAGCCGTTTAATAATGTCATCATATATTTGTGCGTTCTACCTTTTCTACGTGCACGCGTTCACGAAACCCTCTCTCCCGCAGATCGTATACAGGTTTGCTTAACGGCCCGTATAAAGTTTACCGGCGTTCCGGCTGAAACAGCGGGAGAAATTTCTTTCGAAGAGATTCATTGTAGGTGAGAGATGAGGACCTCGTGTCGCCTTAAATATCCGCGCGGTCCGACTCGTACGATTTGCGCCGTGTTGAGCAGGCAATTACTTGCTATTACCGTCCAACTTGGTCAGTCGGTATTGCTGATGAAGGATAATTACAAATGAAAAAATAGAATATACAAAAAATTAGCAAGCATTGCGTTGCAAATTCAAAAGAGAACGCTCGAAGATCACAAGCTGTATGAAGAATAGAGAGTGCAGTCGCGGTAAAAAGCGCGCTTCGGTGATATTAATGGATTCCTGTAAAAGAGTTTGGCGGAATCGTTGGTAAAAGGATTTTATAGCGCCCCACGTTGCACATTGTCGATCCTGGAATAAAAGATGAACGGTAGTTTGCGGGCGCGCTTTAAAGTTCTCATCAAGCGATCGAGGTCTGTGGGACACTTCTGTGTCTCATTGTTCCCTTTGTTTGGTGTTTACGCTGTTGCACCGGGACTACAGTGCGGCGTGCCCGGCGGCGTCGGCGACTACGACGGACCGGGAAGAGGAAGGGGAACGAACGAAACGAGGGAGTGAGGTCGTCGGGGTGCGCCGGGGAGAGAAGCTTTCATTAAGCTTGCATTGTCCCAGCACCGCGCTATTATAGCCGAGTGAATAACTTCGAGCCATCCTGGTAGTCATGCCGCCCTTTCCCCCCCCCCCCCCCCTCCCCCCCCCCCCCCCCCCCTCCCCCCCTCTCTCTCTCTCTCTCTCTCTTTCTCTTTTCTTCCTTCTTCCTGCGTCGCTTCGCCTTCCGTTTTATCTTTCTCCACTTTTTCGTTTTTCCATCTCGTATGCCATTCGCGCGCTATTCTTTCCCTCCGCGTTCCGCTTCCGATATTCTGTGCATCCCCTACGTGTTCGCGACCCTTTTCGTCACGTTTTCCAGCGGCTCGTCTCTTCCTTCTCTCGCGCAATTTGACGCATCTCCAATTTATTCCGCGACTTCGGTGGCTGACTGTCCCGTTAGTCGCGGCGCGATATTAACGAGCCGAACGGTGATATAACGGTAACGGCAAATCGCTCGAGCGGCGCCGGAATGGGCATCGAGCGACGTCCCGCTCGTCGGGGCGCCAACAGACCGCGTGGATATTTCCACCATTCGTCGCGTTGGTGTCGATGATGGTACGGTGACCTTTTAACGAACAAAACCTTGGCGCTCGTAAAATCTTGATTGTCCCGTTCGTTAATTACTTGCCGCGACCTCGTTGTATCTATACCTCGTTTGTTCGGCGACAATTTTGAAAACCTCCCCTTCTCGCCGCTCTTCTCGGCCGTTCTCGGCCGTCGCCCTATATACACACTAACTGAATATGCCTGAACTCCGTAATTCGCTTCCACGTTGGTCGCTAATGACACGGAAGGGAAAGGCCGTACTGAACGCAAAAGAGAAAAAGGGATGATTCCCAGAGGTAACGGCAGGAACGCGTCACCTCCGACGATTACATTTGATTTCTAGAGGTACTTGATGCGTTCAATTACTTCCTCTCGGGATTATAACGAGCATTCCGTTTTAGCCAACGTTTCTCGTTACTCCCCCTTTTACACTCTCTCTCTCTCTCTCTCTCTCTCTCTCTCTCTCTCTCTC